CTCTCTCTCCAACTTTCCTCCTCCCCCCCCCCTTCTCTCCAATAGTTTCCAACATCTTCCTCGAAAATCTTCTCGCTTCTTTTCTCCTTCTCCTCGCGCTTGACTTCTTCCTCGTGGCTTGGACGTGGAAAAGGGCAAAGTGAAGTCGCGCGCCAAAACTTTTTCTATTCCCGTCGCTTGCTAGGGGACGTGCAAACATTTCCGTGTTTCCATGAAAATTTCTCCGTATACTTATATATTCCCGTATATCGGTCGCGAGAAGTCGTTCGACAAACGTTAAAGAAGAAGCCGACAGAGAGACCGCATCGGTGAACCGTGCCCTTATGGTAATTAGCTTCCATGGATTCTCTCCACACTTCGCGCGCTCTACGTCACATCTCACCACGTGCATCTTCCTTCGATCCTTTCCTTCTTCGATTTCACCCCTTCCTCTCCATCCTTCCGCTTCGCGCATTCTCGCTTTCTTGCTTCGTCACTCGAATAAAATTCAAGATTCGAAATAAATAATCCAATAATATCTATCCTTTCTTCTCCCCTCCGCTATATTTTAATAATTACCGATTCGCTTGTGTAAACACCTTTGTGGCCACCTCGATCGATCGCGAATCAAAGAAAATATCCCGCCGACGCGGGATCGAAAAACGGAATATAGTCGATATACGTAGATACGCTCGATGGAATTGTGCGGCGTGGGATTGCGTACGGGATTCTCGACGAGATTTCTCGGAATGGAAAACTCGCAATGACCCAAATAACTTTTCTTCGGTCGATGAACATTCATTGAGGGAGACCGAGAGGAAGTCGGTAATAATAATTAGTCTGTTGATGCGAGCAAACGATCGACGGATAAAGACCACCGCGTTCGAGATTTCGCTTTCAACAAATCATTCGTCAATCTCGAAGTTTCGCGTTCGTTCGTTCCGTTTTTAAACGGAACGAAAAGATAGGAGGCAAAAGAAAAGAGAGGAGAGAGATTTAAAGATTTAAAAAAAACTCTAATATCCGATAGAGATCGGAGAGAATCGCGGGTAGATATCTCGGGTACAGGGGATACAGGTGTCCTTTTATCTCTCTCTCCTTTTACGATCTAATTCCACGGAAAGATAGGCTATCCAACTTCCGGTGACCGGCGTTTCCTTCGTTTCTTCTCCATCTTTTTTAAAGCTTATCAGTTACGCATAACGTAACCGAACATTTGTACTCGCGATCAAACGATCAAATTCCATCACTTCATCTTTTCCAGGCTACGACTGGACCTTGCTTCCGGTCACTTCTCGCGCGGGCGGCCGAAGAAGCGCTCACGTGAAACGTCCGATGAACGCGTTCATGGTTTGGGCTCAAGCGGCGAGACGCAGATTGGCGGATCAATATCCGCAACTTCACAACGCCGAACTCTCGAAAACTCTGGGAAAACTGTGGAGGTATAAATTCGCGTTTAACGTATATAACATCGCTGCAACTCGAAACGTTAACCATAGCCTCCTTCTAATGCGACAGAATTTTAAGCGACGGTGAGAAACAACCGTTCATAGAGGAGGCTGAAAGATTGAGGAACGCGCA